ACTGGGGCATCGAAGCCCTGGGCCGGAGAGCCTTCCTAGAGCTGCTGACCCTCCTCTTCTCCTCCTTGCTCACCTCCCTCCCCTGCGCCCTCTTCTCTCTGCTCTGGGGAAAGGGCCTGGTTTCCCTAGGCCTGACTCAGAGGGGCTCAGAGCAGAGGAGCTGGTGAGCTTGCTTGTGCCAGGATGTCAGCAGTCCTGTGGCATCTACTCAGAGCCTTGTGCTTATTAGAGATACTGAAAAAGCGTGATGTTTAACACAAAGACAAGCATTTTTAAAGATTTGAGTTTCTCAGAGTAGTTAACGGACTTGCCCAAGGATACTCAGGATCAGGCTGAGTGAGGTTTGAGCCTGGAACTGCCTTGTCACTAGCCTAAGCTGTTTCTTCAGCAGTTATGGCCAAATCAAAAAAAAAAAAAAAAAACCCCAAAGGAATATTCAGGCTGTGGAAGGCAGTTGTTCTCAACTTGGCTATGTGTCAGAGTCCCCTGAAAATCTGTAAGGTGCACAGAGGCATAGGCTTATTGACATTGTGGCTTAGGGATTTGTACCAAGTTCTTTCAATGACTCTGATATTCACAGAAATTTGGGAACTACCCATGGACAGGAGGAACACCATAAACTTTAGTCTAATTAGTCTGTTTTTCCAGGCTTCTACCTTTTGCTATCATGTGTAGTCCTTGGGATGCAGGAAGATGACAGGTGATGGTTGAATGAATGGATGAATGAATGGACAGCTACTTAACTAAATTAGTCAATAGAGAGACTGCAAAACTATTGCCCGCTGAGGCACCATGTCTGCAGTCTCATTCGGGGCCCATTTTCAAGCAGCCAACAGAGAAGAGCCTGGATTGCAGCCACATCTGTGAGTTCCTCTGTGAGTGAGTTCAGAGTCCTGAGTACAGGCGAGTAAATAGCTTCCTTATGGCAACAAGAGCCATTTAACAAGTAAGATGGAAAAAGTCCTATTCCGTTCTTAATGACATAAAAAATTAAACATAATAAACTTAAAAATCTTTTTCAAATTATTTTTTAACTTAAGAATGTTCCAGTTAATATCCCAAAGGAGCTTTCTTGAAGCTTTAAATGGTTTTGAATTTCATCTACTAGAATAAATAGCCAAAAAGAGCCAAGAAATATTTTTAGAAGAAAAATTATATGGGAAGACTTTTACCATGAGATGATAAAATGTACCATAAAATGGATATAGTTTAAGCAATGTGAGGCCAGAGCCAGAACTAACAAAGAGATGGTTGAAAAAAGAAAAGATACCCACCAAACAAAATCCATTTACATATAAATACTTCATATATGATAAACATGGCATTTCAAATTCAGGGGGAGATGATTTTTTTTTAATAAGGGATGCTGACATTGCAATCTATAAAGTATAATTAAAAAAAGAAAAAATGGAAACTAATCAATAAACCACAGACATGCCTTTTTAGAGCAGACATACCCTTTGGGTGAGCCTGAATGCTGCTACCACCTCACTGACCTGGACAGGCATTGTAGTAAACCATGGTTTCTGGACCCGAAGGAGCTGAGCTCAAGCCGAAATACTGCCACTTATCAGCTGAGCCCTTTGGGGGTGTTACTGGATCTCGTGAATTTTAAATGCAATGCTGTTGCTGGGTTCTTGGCAAATAGTAGGCTCTCACAAATGCTACCAAGATTTCCTAGCTTTCCTGTTTTATTATGCCTTTACGTTCACAAAGAACTTGTTCTCAGAATTTTCATGAGCTGAATGAACTCCAGATGTTGGCTTCTGTACAACGGCAAAAGCTATCCTGTAGGTCCCTGCTGGCCTGAGGGGGACAGGTGGATGGCATGGCAGACACTTGGCTGCAGGCTCTGGGATGGCGACAGATTAGCTGACTCTCATTCTGGAGATGAAATTAACCCTTCAATTAGAGCTTTTTCCCCCAGACATCAACTTAAACACAGAGTATGGCCAAGGCTTCCATTTCAAGACCGTAATTGGCAAGTTTGGTCCTGAAACCCCATCATAACTTTTCTCTGAAATTGCCATGTCCTCACCATCTAAAAATATGTAGTTCAGTTTGGTCATGTTGCAAAAATGCCACTTGTACTGACCAGGAAAACAACGACACATAGAGGAGGCTGAAGATAAGGAAAGCCCAGCATCTCTTGCAGGGAAGCCAGGCCCCAAGTTCAGAGAGACCCGGCTCTTGATTCTGGTCCCACAGCTCAGGATGAGTCCAGAGGTTCACCTTCTCCTTGCTGAATCTGTGAGAAATCTGGTCACATTATTTACTGACTTCTCTAGATAAATCTTTTTCTCTCCTCTTTTAATTTTTATGAAGAAAAATGGGTGTTGGTGCTGGGTTGTTGTGCCACTTTGTTTCCCTTTCCAATTTTAGTAGACCCTCCTCCCACCCAGTGCTCTGGGTGTCAGCGACAGGTTTGAGATAAAAATGACAGGCTTCCCCATTTGGCCAAGAGCATGGTGCTGTCAAGGACAGAGACCTTTTCATACCTGGGGATAATTTTCCAGAAAGGATGCTCAGCTCCAGAGGAAGCTCAGAGGGGCTGGAAGGAGCAGTGGCTTAGGGCCGGGAGTTCTGCCTCTGGCCTGGTCACTGTCCAGGTCTGTGTTTTTGAAAGTCCTATAAACTTTTCTGGCTTCCAACTCCTCATGTGTGAAGGGGGCCCTAGAGCCCCTACCCCACCTCCCAGCTGGGGCACTGTGGGATTAAATATGATGATGTTCTACAAACAAGGAAATATTTTACAGATGAGACAATGGAGTAATACCATCAGAGGGCTTAGCGGAAAGGTGATGGCGCTTTGTAAACTATTAAGTGCTATGCCTAGGACTGCCAGAGCTCTTTATATTTAATTCTGCTAGCACAAAGTAAATGCTCACAAATATTTATTATAGGGGTAAACTACTGTGGACTTCTGGGAAAAAAAAGAGTTAAAGGCAGAAAGGAAAAATAATCAGATAATCTTCATTAACTGTAAAATGATGTAACCACTGAACAACTTTCTAGAGTGTTCCAGAATCAGCACTCCTGAACGGTCATGGAGACCTGTTAGGAGCAGCATCTTGCCCTCTTTAGTGCTCTTTGTGGATAGAATAATGCCAGACGCACAGCCTTCCTTGGAGTGGAAGCTTAAGCCCCCGATGCAGGGTCGTCTCTGCTCATGGGGACACGGCTGCTCTGGTAGACCCTTTCTCTGCTGGCAACTACACCTGCATGCCCTTCTCTCCTGTCGTGACAGCTGCCTATGACAGGAGGTGGGAGCAGCATGGTAAAGAAGTGGAAGGGCACAAGCTTGTGGATGCAAAGACCTCGTTTCAATCCTGTTCCGCCCCTGAAGAAAGGCTTGCTCTTGCGCTGGCCATATTAACTGTGTTAACCTCTCTGGGCCTCATTTCCTTCATCTTTAAAAGAGGATGTCTTAGCTGGGGTTTTCCAGGAAACAGACTCTGCGATGGAGATTTGCATGCAGGAAGTTCAGTGCACAGTGCTCTTGGGAGTAGCACCTGTAAGGAAGCGGGGGGCAGGACGGGGCAGGGGGAGAAGTAGAAGTCTGAAGCAAACCAAACAATGGCCCCATCCATGCCTCAGTGAGCTCTGCAGCTGGGCTGCTCTTCAGAGCGTCCCATCTTGAGGCAGGGGTCTGGGCCTTTGTACACCCACGTGGACTAGGTTTTGGATGAGGCTGACCCTGGGGAGGGGAGGCTGCTTTCCTAGACCAAAAGCAATTTTTGGAGAGAGATCTGGATGGGAGTCCCCAGCCACCACCTTCCCAACAGTTGGTGAAATGAATAGCCTTGGCCTTGAAGGCAGCCCGGGCAGCCCACCATGGTGGCCAAGCCATGGTGCCCTCCATGGGCTTGGGGATGATTAATGCTACCGTGTCTGTGAAGACCTCAACAGAGTGCTGCAGAACAACGCTGACATGTCTGTCGCCGTCATGGTCCCCTAGCATTGTTCTGATGATTGCATTGTAACACCTGCATTATGATGTTTGTCTTGCTTTTCTGTTTCTTTCCCACTCTACTGAGAGCTGCTTAATAGAAACAGCCATGCTTTTGTTTGTTTTGTTTTATTATCTTCGTATTTTTAGGCACAAAATTTGGCTCATGAAAACTCTTCTCTTTTTTCAGATTCTTCTTTTATTGAAATATTGTTGACATACAATTTTGTATTAGTTCCAGGTGTACACCATACATATAACTGACATTTATATACACTATGAAATGCTTACATTTCATAATGTGATGGTAACAGGTGTACTCCCCATTGGTCACCATACAAAGTCATTACAGTATTATTGACTGTCTTCTCTAAGCTATGCTTTTCATCCCCATGACTTATTTATTTCATAGTTGGAAGTTTGTCCCTCTCTATCCCCTTCACCTATTTCGCCCACCCTCCCTCCTCCCACCCCATGGTAACCACCAGTTTGTTCTCTGTTTCTCTGTTTCTGTTTGTTGGTTGGTTGGTTTGTTCCATATGATTCAGTAACTCCACTTCTGGGTATTTACCCAAAGAAAACAAAAATGCAGAAAGATATATGTACCCCTTTGTTCATTGCAGCACTATTTACAATAGCCAAGATATGGAAGCAACCTAAGTGTCCATCAGTAGATGAATGGATAAGAAGATGTGGTACATATCTGGTACAATGGAATATTACTCAGCCATAAAGGGAATGAAATCTTGCCATTCACAACCACATGGATGGACTTAGAGGGTATTATGCAAAGCAAAATAAGTCAGAGAAGGACAAATGCCGTATTTGTCTTACATTGTACTTACATGCAGAATTTAGAAAAAAATAAAAATTTCTTAATAAATCATTGTAAAAGGGAGAGATGGATAAAGAAATGGGGTCACATGAGAATGGAGACCATGACAAGGAAGCCCTGGGGCTACCCTTTGGGGACATCGGGTCGGGTTCCACTGTCTTTACTACACACCAGGGGAAAACTGTGTGACTGAGTGTCCTCTGCTTTCTCCCCTAGTCTCTCTGGATGTGTGGCAGTCCCTGCCCCTCTCTTCAGTAGTTGTTGATCCATCCATCAGGAACTTCGATGTTGCCCACATCAGCACAGCTACCACCAGCAACTTCTCTGCTGCCAGAGACCTCTGTTTGTTAGGTAAGGGGAGTTACCTTCCCGCTCCCCCCAGAATAGGGTGGCTGATTGGGATGGGGCCTCATACAGTCCAGCTCAAGAGTCAGGCCTCAGAATCTTGGGGTGCCTGGAAGGAAGGCATTCACCTCGGGGGAAGGCCCTGGATGGGCTCTCCTCTGTGGTCACCTCATCCTCTTGCAGGGTTAGTCCATAGCCAAGGTCTCCAAGGCCAGCCAGAAAATGCATTATTTTGAACCATGTCGGAGGAAGATAAGGGCTAGGCTGAGATGGGAGATAAGGGGAAGCTGTGACAGCTGTCCTCAGTTTATAGGCGGACCATCACGGCTAGGAAGAAATATACTTGTGGTCAGGCTCACAGGGAAAAGCTGAGACCACGAGAACCTCAAATGTCAAAAGACATTTGTGCAGTATAAAGAACTTTCTAGTGGGCAGAATTGTCACAAATGTATCCTTTCTTTAGAGGATTTCCAGTCACTGAAAATTAAGCAAAAGCTAAGTGATCATAGGCAGATGAACAGGTTGTCACTGCACAACTCTGGGTGGTGCCATAGCTCAGAGACTGGGTTGCGAATAAGGCCTTTACACCGTGCACAGCTTGACCATGTGAATGAGACAACGTTATTTTCAGAGCTGAAAACTCTAAATGCCATGAACAATTTAAATTGTCTAGCCTAGGACCTGACATGCATGGGGAAGGATATGACTCCTGATGGAACATGGTGGTATGACTGGGGAGGTGGAAAAGGAGATGGGGCTGAAGAGAAAGGCAAGGGCTGGAATGTGGAGAGCCTTGTCTGGTATGACTTAATCCTGAAGCCACTGGGAAGCCATGGTGGTGCTTTAGATAGGGGAACGACAAGGGCGTATTTATTAATTAAATAAACAACCAGATACCTGATTGTTGTGTGGAAAATAGATTGCTGGGCCAGTTGGGTGCCCCACCACCATTGTTTTATCCCCAGACTCTGGGGATAAAGTACAGTATCTGGGATATATAGCAGGTGCTCAATCAAGTCAGTGAGGGATTGCATGGATGGATGGATGCGTGGATGGATGCATGGTGCATGGATGCATCATTATGGATGGATGGATTGACAGAGGCATGGATGCATGGTTGCAGCATTGGATACGTGACACGATGGGTGTATGACTGAGTGGCATCTCTGAGGCCCATGCCTCATTCTTCTCCTTCTGTTCTGCAGAATGTTCCCGTCACCAGGCCTGCCTTGTCACCACTCTGCAGACCCGACCCGGGGCTGTGAGGTGTATGTTCTATGCTGATACCCAGACCTGCACACATAGCCTGCAGGCCCAGAACTGCCAACTTCTGCTCCGAGAAGAGGCCACCCTCATCTACCGGAAGCTAAGTAAGTGCAGGCTTGTACCCTCGTGGCCATGCCTGGGAGCCTGGGTGTGGCTGGGAGGGGCTGCCGGAGCCTGTGGTGACTTGCCAACAGTGCGTTTGGTGTTCTTAAGGGAAAGTCATCCAAAATTATCCTGGGTTAGGTGGCACTCACTTGGGATGGATGGAAGGAAGGTGAAAACTCTAATTCTAACTTGGGCCATTTCTGTGGACCTTTGTTCATTTATTCCATTAAGTTATAGAAGCCATTTTGACCTTTTAGTTTCTTTGTAAAATAAATAAATACACTCCTTTTTTATATTTCATTGTTTAGAAAATTCTATCACATGCCTCATTTTGTTTGGTCTTCCCACTAATCCTTTGAGGTGGCAAGATAAGGATTTTATCTCGTCTTAGAAATCAGGAGACTCTGGCCCAGAGGAGTTGTTACTTCTCTGATGTCACACAGCTAGTGACAGCAGGGTCTTGGAGCCAGGTCTCCCAGGTGTCACTGCAGTCCTCTCCTGCAAAACGCCATTGCCTAATGATCTCATCACAGTCACTTTGGAGAGGGCAGCTGCTCCTGGCTCAGCTTAGTTTAAAGCAGTCCAGAGGGTGCTGCTGTGTGTCAGCCATTGTGCTAGGTGCTGGGATACCGGGCTGGAGCCGGCAGGGGGGAGCAGCATGTAAATTCATCACTAAGTGAAAAACGTAAGATCTCTCTAATAGGAAACACGGAAAGGGGGGACCTGGGGGAGCACCTCCCCCAGTAGGCATGCTTATTGTGTGAAATAAATAACTTTTTAAAAATGTGGGCTATTTCTGTTATCTTCTAGAGCAGAGTTTGGCAAATATTGTCTGTAAAAGGCCAGGTAAGAAAGAGTTTAGGCTATACAACCACACGTCTCTGTTACAACTACTCAATTCTACCATCGTAGCAGGAAGGCAGCCACAGACCATATGTAATTATTGGGCATGGCTGTGTGCTAATAAAACTTTATTTACAAAGCCAGGTAGCAGCCAGGTTTGGCCTCACCCCATCCTAGAGCACTGATGGGCCTTCAGGCCTGTCTTGAAACAGTGATAAACCCCTCCTCTTCTGCCCCCTCCTCCACCTCAGACTTTAGACCCTGAGAGTGCCCCAACCCGAGAGAGCTTTGATTTCCTGATCCAAGTCTTGTCTTTTGCTTAGACATTAATATTACTTAGTGAGGTTAAATTTCAGTAGTCTATTTCACCCACAGTGTAGCTAATCTGCGTGGTAGTCCTGCTGAGAAATGCCTTCACTTTGAGGTTTAAGTACTGTAAAACCAGTTAAAATGTTTCTCTATTAATTCTTTGTAACTCAAATTCACTGTGAAATACCTCTGACAGAAGATGCATGCCTACAGGCATCTGCATGGGCATTGTTTGTGCCTAATGCACATACAGAGCTACAGTAATTTTCTTAGCCCAGGTAGTCACATGGCCTAAATATGTGGCTCTTCTGGAAAATATCCATCATTTCTGCAAAAGATTTCAAGAGAGAGAGCTGCACATTTAGCATTTTCCCCGTGCTGAACCTCGTTCAGTCTGGGATCCATTGGGTAGCCTCAGGAGCGAGGCTTGCACACCACAGTCCATGGGAAAGCAGGCTTGCATTCCCTCGAAATTCTTCAGCTTTTATATTTTCTCTCTTTGCTCCCCCCTTCAGATAATGCCACGTTCATGAAGTGTGGCTGTTTCCTGTAGAGCCAAAGAACTGACCTAGAAGGTTCTGCTGCTTAGCACCCGCAGTCCTGGCTGGCTTGCCTGGGACCCTGTGATTTATAATTGAAACAGGAAATCTTGTGAGAAGGAACTGCAGGGCTGAGATCAGTCATGATTTGTGATTGAGGCCAGATTAAAAAGCAGCAACTATTTCTTTCCATCTTGAGTTTCCATTTTGAGTTCTAACCCACATACCAATTTTTGCAACACAGAAAGTTTCTTTAGTTTCCTTTTTCTTTGTTCCTTTTTTACTTCCTCCCCTTCCTTTCTCCTTCCTTCCTCCCATTCATTCATTCATTTATATGTTGCACTCCTGTCATTCACCAGGCACTGGGCTTGGAACATAACAGCATCTTTATTTATACTTAACATCTTTGCGTTGTAGGGACTATTATCCCTATTTCATAGATGGGAAACTTGAAAGGGAGAATTAGGAAGTCTTCCCAAAGCACCTGGTCCGTAATGTGAAACACAGGTCTGCTGGACTCCCCCGACCATCCTTAGGTTCCTCACCTCCGTGCTGACCCTCAGTGACCTGGAAGTCATCAGCACATGTCATAGCAGAGTTTCTTCGCACCAGCGATGCTGGCGTTTAGGGTTGGATCATCCCTCATTACGGGGAGCTGCCTTACCTATTATAGGATGTTTAACAGCCTCCCTGGCCTCTGCCCTACTGTATGCCAGTAGCATCTCTCCCTGACCCCGAGACAACCAAACATGCCCCCAGGCATTGTCAAATGTCCCCTGGGGGCAACATCACGTCCAGCTGGACTGCTGCATCATACCAAGCTCTTGAGGAATGGCTAGACTTCTGCCTGTGTCCCTGCCTGCCTGCCTCCTCTCCCGTGCTGCTGTTCGTTGTCATGTATGCATTTTAAATAGAAGGAGCTGAAGAGCGCAGCATCAGAGCTTAGCCGACAGACGAGCTGAGCAAACCAAACATATCTGTTGGAAAGATAAGAGACTTCGTGTGCATGGCGTGTGCGCACACAGACACATACACACTCACACACACACATACTCGCACACATAATGTCTTCACCAGCATTATTTCCTTTGTGCAAGCCCTAAGCTCCATGGGGATTCAGGCACAGGTCTGTCTCAAGTCCCTGAAAATACTGTTTGGCCTGGAGCCAGGCCCCAACAAAAGTTTATATTGAATCAGTGAGTGAATGAGAGAAAATGTAGTAGAAGAGATAAGATAGGGCTACAGAGGCCGATAAATGTGCTGGTCATTAGTCTTACGAGGGCGATGGAAGGCACTTGTGTACACAGGGCAAAGATGGCAGGAGGCACCAGCCTTGACCTTACGGGTCAAGTGGAATTCAGATGTGAACAAAGTGAGGGAGTGTGTCGCAGGCATGGGAAGAGGCCTGGAGAGGGACCCTGACCTGGCCTGGCCCCATGTGAACAGGACTTGAGTTAGTTTTAGGAAGGTGCAACTTTGAATCCTACATCATTGAAGTACTGGCACTACTCACTCTGGGCCCCTAAACCTGTTTCCTCACCGATCAAAGCATATATGGCCCCACAGTTCCTTTGCTGCAATTCTGAAATCCAGAAGCTCTAAAAGTCAGAAAAAAATTGTTTGTAAGTTTGTAGCAAACTTACTTGGTGGCAAACTCTGACCTGAAGAAATTATATCCAGTATTCCTGCCTCTTTGTTAAATAATCCATACACTCCACCACAGAAATAGTCCATGTGGTCGATGATGGGGCTCTGTTCCAGACCTCCCTGGGAGGATTGAACATTGCGTGTTCTGTGTCCTTTAAAACCCGAATATCAGCCTGCCAGCTCACAGGTGGCCCAGATGCTGAGGAAGTGCTGGTGGCCTGGGGGAGCCTCTGCCCGGCCTCCTACATGGAGAAGGGATGGCCACTCACTCTGCACAGACTCAGTGCCTAGGACAGGCCAGCTGTCTCTGCTGCTGATTATCTTTTCACAGGCAAAACTTACTTGACTAGACTTAAATTATTGGGGTCTGGAGTCCCTGGCAATTTCAAAGTACACAAAGCAGCATTTTGTTTTGTTTGAACAGAGCACCCACTGCTCTTTCTTCCCCTCCTGCCCCACACTCCCCTCCCAGCAGACATCCCTCAGCTCGGTTTTGGGACATCTGTACCTTCTGTGACCATTGCCGCCCACGGCCAGCTGCTGGGTAGGTCCCAGGCCATCCAAGTGGGCACTTCATGGAGGCAAGTGGACCAGTTCCTGGGAATTCCATATGCCTCGCCACCTCTGGCGGAGAGCCGCTTTCGGGCACCAGAGCCTGTGAACTGGACCGGGTCCTGGGATGCCACCACGCCACGGTAAGTGTAGGGTGGAATGCATTTTGGTGACTGTCCAGGGAATTCCTCTCCCATTCTAATCCATCAAAGTGAAGCTTGGTAGCAGAGCAGTGCCTTCTGGTCTGAGTGGTACAGGCGTGGGGGGTGTATCAGTGAAGGCAGTGTTAAATGCTCTAATGATAAGTCCCAAACATTAGTGACTTAATGTTATCTTACTCCTGTGAAGACCATTTGGTGATGAAGGGGTTGGTGTGCTCTGCTCCATGTGATCTGGGGACCCAGGCTAATGGAGGCTCTGTGTTTTTCAGCACGAATGTTCCTTGACATTGCATCCAGGAAAGGGAGGCTTTGGAAAAGTCTGCAGGGGAGGTTTCTATGGGCTGTGCCTATAGTGGGGTGCATACCTCACTTGAACCAGTACTCAGCCTCTTGGCCATGTTTGACTTCAGTGGGACTGAGAAATACAGCAGAGAAGGAAAACTACATGAGCTAATAAAAAATATTTTTAAAGGACTTTTTACCTCCAATAGGGAAATATTAAAAGGAGTTTTCAGAAAAGGGAAAAAATATCACATTATGTCTCCCTCCCTCATCAACTGTTTTCAGTTTATTCATTCCCTCCCATGCATATAACACTTTAAATAGTTGCGATATTGGAGATGTTGTGATTTTTCTGAGCAAAGCAAGCTCAGAGTGCCCATGAAAAGAGCATTTATTCTCCTCTGTCCTCCCCATCTGCATCTGCCCTCCTGACAGGCATCTGCACTCTGTCTTGAGGGAGCTGCATCCTCCCTGTCCCTTGCCACCTACACCTGGCTGCTGGCCAGGGCTACAGGCCTGGGGCGAGAAGCAGTGGCTAGCAGGCTCCAGGCAAGGCATGATGAAGTCTTGAACTAACTAGGGCAGTGGCAGAAGCGTGCAGAAAGCCATGGGTGTCCCTACCATTGAGCAAAAGGAATCAGTATGCTCTAATTGAGTGCTTTACCATGTTAGGATGTGCCCATTTGACAAATGAGGTGGTGAGTCACATGGGCTTTTGGGTGGAGAGTAGTTGGCTGGTCAGAGTCAGGTGCTCATGAGGTGGTGAGTAACCTTCTGAGTAGTTTACCATCATGCTGCCATTAGGCATGTCCCGGATGTGGTCTCAGCTCTTCTGTGGGGAGATGCTCAAACTGGCACACCTTGGCTCTGTACTGGCACAGAAAGCAGGTTGAACACCTAGTCCAGCCACAGGTCTGCACACTGAGAGCAAATAAGGGCCAAGGTCCTGAGTAACAGCCACTTTCCCCTTCTCTGTGTTGGGCATCCTTCTCTCTGGGTTGGATGTCTTTGTCTCATGGCAGAGAGAGTGCTGGGCATTCTGCAATTTCTTCTGTTCACTTGCCACCCCCATTTCCCATTTATCAGTTGCTGCAGAGCTGGTGGGCCTCTGGGCCTTTTGGAATGTGGCCTCTGGCTGCTGGAGGTCGGTGGCAGGAAGGGGAGGGGAGGTGTGTCCCCTTGGTCCTTGCCCCTGGAAGTCACACAGTCTGTATCTGCAGGGCCAGCTGCTGGCAGCCAGGCGCCAGAAAGCCCACATCTCCAAGAATCAGCGAAGATTGCTTGTATCTCAACGTGTTTGTCCCTCAGAACCTGGTGAGTTCTGAAGCCCTGGCTATGTTTACCCTGAAAAATGCCCCATTAGAAATCCCTTGCCCCCAGAGCTGCCAGCCTTGGTCACTCAGCTGCCCCATGGCCCACTCAGGTCGCACTCCCCAGCACTGTCCGAGCGGGATCTGGCTTCCTGCAGACCTAGATGGCTGAGAGGGAGCAGAGGGTCCTCCTGGGTCCTCCAGGCCATGTCTCCCACCCGCACAGCCTCACACCCCATCCACCCGCCTGCATGGTACACACTTGTCCCCATCAGTCCCCTAAGAAATATTCATAAAGGGCCCACAATAGGCCAGGACTGCAGGTAGGACACAGCTGTGAACAAAACAAAGCTGCTGCCCTTTGGGGGCTTACATTTTAGTGGGGGGCAGAAATAAATAGATGAACACACATTGAACAACTATGGCACTGATAAGACTGTGAAGAAAAACATGGCAAGGGAGGATCACCCAGTGACAGGTGCTGGGTGGCGGCCTGCAGGTGCCGTTTGAGCAGTTGCGGGGAGGAGGGAGGGGGTGAGCCCTGCCTGCAGGTGAGGACCAGGGATGCAGGGCCGCTGGAGGGGTGGGGCTTGGGCTGGGGAACGTGCAGCAGGACTCCAGCGGATCTGCAAACGAGGAAGCCCGTGGGTCTCCTTGGAGAGCCCCCTGGAGAGACCCTGGGGTCATAGCGTTCCCTGTGGGCTCTTGTTGGAGGCAATTCTGCAGGGTGGGGTTTGCAGCTGTACCCCTGGCTCTGGTGACACTCTGCTTTGAAGGCTGTCTCTGCCTAAGTAGCCACCATGATCCTGATATTGAGCATTTGAGTTTCCTGTTTTGGGGGAAGTGTCAGAGCACAAGAGAGAAAAAGGAACTGATGAGCTTTAGGGAACATGAGTTCCTGGTGACGCCAACCCAGTGTTGACAGATCTTATGGTACATGTAACTATGCCACGGCTTCCTGGTCTCCTAGCCTACTGGCAGTGAGAGCTAAACAAACTTCGGAGGTTTGATCACAGCAGGCTGAAATGAGTGAGCTTTGTAATGAGAACACCAAAAACATGAAAGCTCTCCTGGGCTGTATTAATAAATTTATGGAGGCTAGAGTGAGGGAGGTGATGAGCTCCACTCTGCAGAATGCTGGTCATACTATACCTGGGATGCTGAATCAGGTTCTGGCTCCAGACCAGCTGTTTACCACGCCAGTGCTGTTTTCCACTGCCTCACCAGCCTAGAGAAGGTGACTTGAGTCCTATGTGTCCCAGTTACCTGTTCTGAAAGTTAGGAAGGAAATAGCCCTGGCTCATAAAGTTTTTGTGAGAATTAAATAAAACAATGCATAGATCCTGATCACTGGATGGCTGATGAAATAGACAATGGAAACGACAGTGAGTGGGACAGAGATCACACCTGAAGGAGCAAGGGCCACTCAGCCTGGAAGAGAAGGTCATCATGCGGGCAGTGTAAGAGCTACTGGCAATGTTGAAGAGTGGGAAGGAGGAAGGGAAGGGGGAAGGAGGTGACCATCCCTGGAGGCCTATGCCCATCGCCAGTGGATACCACGCTTCCTTTTGATCCTCACACCTCGAAGAGGTGTTATTCCCATTGTACAGGTGAAAGTAAAGTGACTCAGAGAGGTTAAGTGACCTGCCTAAGGACACTCAGCTAGTGAGTGATTAGACTCTGTAGACTTGGGTCAGTTGGGTCCCTGAATTCATGGCTAGAGCCAGTGAGTGGTGACCAGTGACCATATACTTTTGCCATAGTGTGAACAAGAAGTTTGCGACAGTGCTTCACAGTTTATACAGCACTTGTGTATCTGTGATTTCAGTGGCCTTCATACCAGCTCTAGGAGGAAGTTATGTGTAGATTCTCCCTCCCCATTTTAAGGTGCAGAAACTGAGGCTGAGGGAGGCTAATTAACTTCCTTAAGGACAACAGCTGGGCTGAGTGAAGGCTTGATACCTGTCTCCTGACTCCAATTTCAGAGCTCCTCCCTGGGGGGATATTCCAGGTCACAAAGAGCTCTGCCCTTCCTGCCTTGGGCTGACCCGTTGCCCCATCTGGCCTTGGGGAGGAGTGTGGGTGCCTCGCCTGCAAAGCCGCAGCAGTGCATGGGCCCAAAGTGACAGGCCCTGCAAAGGCGGGGCCAACAACTTGGATACTTCCTTCTGGTAGGGGGTCGCTGAGGCAGAGAGCTGACCCTCACCTCTGTGTCTTCCCTTGCTTCGTTGGCACTTGCTGGCATCGAGCCAAACAGCCTTCTTGCTTGCTGGAGTGCTACCCAACAAAAATAACTCATGGCACTCAGGAGTGGGTATGGGGCCCATCCTGACCTATCTGATAGTCCCCAGCAAATGGAACCTCCTTCCCACTCTTCAACATTGACAGTAGCTGGCCTT